TCGAAGGTGGGAATGGGAGCCTTGAGTGGTTGCTGCTGTACGATGATGCGAGGAATCCCTTCTCGCTGGGACGATGGCATCGGACGAGGTTGCGGCTCGGTCATCGACTGGATTAATGTTTCGACCAACATGCAAGCCTCGTTGTGTTGGTCTTCGAATAGGATGTACGTTTCATCGTGGTCCACTAGTTTTTCGGCGGGAGTCAAAGCGACGATTTGCCGATGAATATCACAATACTCCTGGTAGTGCGTTTCCAAATTGCGTGTGAAGACTTTCAGCTGCACCATACTCAATTGCCTTGCTCCAGCTCCAGATGCATCTTCAACGGCATTCCGGATCCTCGTCACTTTGGCCTTCGCTTGCCCACGAAGGTGAACAAGAGTCTTCACTTCAGCCATCTTCTCCTTTTCGGTCTTCACAGGTGTGTGTTGAATTGGCATCAAGCACAGCGATCACCTGCACAACGGTAGGCAGGAACGGACAGGAATAAACACGTTCCACCACTTGCGCACGACGTAAAACGTTCGCGTACGTTTTGTTTTGCACACGCGACGACGAACAGGTTCGATTTCACTCGCGACTGTACTTTCGAAGAAACTTGCGGTTTTCCTTTTAGCCAAGCCACAAGAAAATTCTAAAACAAAACTCTGCGAGCTTTTCGTGAGGTAGCAGGAAATCCGATCGGCTGATCACAGCGACGAAAGGCAGGAACTTTTCGATAATCGTCAGATTGTCGAAACGCTGTTGCGGTTGCAACAGAAACGGATGGGATCACACGGATCCGGCTCGAAGGACCAAAAATGTCCGATCACGGACACTGGAGATGGTGTGGCAATCCTCGGCTCGGAGGATTCCAGCTGATTTGGCCAATTCCCCCTGTGGGAATGCCAACAGGAACACAACGAAAAGCTCGACTGAAATCCAATTCAACTCATAGCCCTGAAAAGGACTGTTTTGGCTTCGGCTTGTCCAAAGAGGAAAAACGAGAATGAATTAAAACTTTCAACGGCGCTATATTTCGGTGTTTGCTTTACAAAGCTTGTGGACTGTATGATTGCGACGCGCAAAATGCGTCGCTTTAAATGTGTTTGGCTTTCTTCTTTTTGATGTTGCATTCATTCAATTCTCCTTCATTCATAACCAATCAGCACTCGCTGCACGCTCGTTGGTTTGTGGTCGGTCGGTCGCTCGTCGCTCGGTCGGTGCTGCTGCTTGCATGCTCGTGCCAAGCCAGCGGCAGCGTAAGGAAATGATCAAAGCTTGTTTTCAGGGTCTTGATACAAATTACACATGTAGCACATTAGGGTTAGTTTCGGAAACCGATTACCCGCGGTCGCCTCGGGGTTAGTAGAGTTTTAAAGGATTGGGTAAGTGGTTAGGGCGATTACACAAAACAACTACTACTACTACTTCTACAACACATTACGTTCGCTTCAATCGCGAACACTTGTCATCAGCATCGCAAAATGCCACGTGATGACCTTCCATCGTTCCAAAGACCATTTGACCGATCTTGGTGATGTGTTGGATTCGAAGCTCTCCTTGCATTCCCATTACCCATCGATTATTTCCAAGGCAAACCGTCAATTTGGCTCTATCTCCAAAATTGCCGAGGACTTCACGGATCCACACTGTCTAAAAGCGCTATTATTGTTCCATCGTGCGACCGATTCTAGAAAACACTTTACTCGTATGGGCCCAAACGACGTTACATGGAACCTAAGAATCGAGCGAGCCCAAAAAAAGGTTCATACGGCTTGCTCTCAGGAATCTACCATGGCGTGATCCGTCTAACCTTCCAGCGTATCCCGCTAGATGCCGTCTGCTTGGTCTTGAAACACTTGATCGAAGACGAAAATTGCAACAAGCTATGTTTGTCGTTAAATTACTCAACGGTGGCGTCGATTGCTCCTATCTTCTATCGCTCCTTGACTTCCGTGCTTCAGGTAGGATATTACGTCAGCGGTCCCTGATGCAGCCGGGATTTCGTCGTACTCTATATGGTTATAACTAGTCTATATCTGCAATGGTTCGTTTGTTTGCATCGGTTGAATCCGCGTTCAATTTTGGTATGTCAACGCCTAAATTTGTAAATAGAGTAAGAAGATTGAACATAATTTTGATATTCATTAAGACTGTTTGTCAGATGATTTACTAAACAATAAATAAATAAATCATCAGCAGCAGTGCTTTCGGCGCGTGGTGTTGAACATTGTTCTCCAGTACACAACGGAAGGCTACCCGCAAGTAGCAAGCTGCAGCCCATATGAGCGTCCATTCGCCGAAGAAGGAGGCAGAAGTCGCACCGCTACTGATCGGATTCAGTAGCTCTTCGTGAGTCTCAGTGGGCCATCTATGCCAAACGCGTCACCTTCGTTCCAAACAACACACAGCTCGCCAGTCTCATCTGCGTTGAACACCCTAATAGCTCGGCAATACACTATGAATTTGTTTAGGAGTATTTTTTGGACATTTGTCAAGGTCATCAATCGGATGTCAGTTCCCATAAGTTTAAATCTAACATCAGTTCCAAGAACTCAAACGAAGCTCCCTCAACGTCTTTCCAATCCATCGAGCTTATTCAAAGTAACCCTGAACCTCTATAAAGTTCCTTGAACGTGTGAAAAGTTCCGCAAATTTCTGAGAAATTTCACCAACTTTAACGAAGTTCCTTGAACTTAGAAGATTTTACCATAGCTTATACAAACTAAAACTGCATTTCAACGAAGACATCAAATCAAGAAGACTGAGACTATCATCAAGATGGACTTCCGGGGCTACTGTTCTTTACCACCCAGCACAAGTTTGATGTTCCGGAGGAAGTAAGGAAGCAGAAACTTTCAAAGTTTGCCAAGAAATACATGATTTGGCAAGCGATCTGCTCATGTGGTAAACGGAGTGCGCCGTTCGTGACTACCGGGACTGTAAACGTGGAGATCTACCTCAAGGAGTGTCTACAGAAGCGTCTGCTTCCTCTGTTGAAGCAACACGAGAGTCCTACAATCTTTTGACTGGCTCTAGCTTCGTGCCACTATTCAAATGTTGTCCTGGAGTGGTACGAAGCCAACGTGATAACTTTCGTACCCAAGGACATTGCATTGGAATACTCCATGGAATTCCTTTCAGACTATCCTAAGAATTCCCTTGGAAATCTGCTCATAATTCATGTGGAACACCTAAAATTTAATTTTGATTTATCTCCTCATAATTCTCCTGAAATTGTAGCCAGAACTCCTCATCAGAATTCAATTGGAATTATTCTCACAATAGCTTAGTAACGAATGCCTGAAATATCGCGTATTTCTGTTCATTAGGTTCCACCGGGGTTCCGCCAAGTTTTGTAAGAATGCGCAACAGTGGTATCAACCTGTGGAATTTAACGATTTTAAATTGGCTCACTACTTGTCTAGTCTATAGCATTCTAGTCAAAATTCTAGTACTACACTAAATTTGTTTTGATTCGCTATGGAAGTTTGACAAATAAAATGAGGGGTTCGTGGATTTTCCTATGTTTCGTGGGGTGCATCGATTCAGCTTGGGATCGAAGAGAGTAGCCAAGAAGTTCTTCTGAAACGCTGGTCTTAGAATTACCTCTATGGTAGTATCATAGACGCAACTCTAAGACTAGAAGGCCCCGAAGAAACGTACTTTTTGGCTCAGCTCTGGTACTCTCTTCGGTCCCAAGCTAATCGATTCACCCCTCGAAACATAGTAAAATCCACTAACCCCTCATTTTATCTGTCAAACTTTCATAGCGAATCAAAACAAACACAGTGTAGTACTAGAAATTCGACTAGAATGGGGTACGTTAAACGATTTGCTTGGAACCAATAGACTAGTCAAGTAGTGAGCCAATTTTAAATCGTTAGTTTCCACCGGTTGGTAGTATCGCGATAATGGAGTAGACGTCATTGAGAAAGGGATGAACGGGGGGTGCCCAATCGAAATGTATTGGGATATCATCAATGCTAAACTGTAGAAGAGTGGAAAATGGCTAAGGATGCTATTTCAATGGCCAGATACTGGAAAAAAGCGGCCGGTGAGGTGGACCAGCAGTTGATTCTTCCAATATCATTTTATTCTAAACCAAACAGATTCTGATATACACACGATTGAAAGTGTACGGATTTTAACTTGACAGGGCTTTATTGCATTTCTACGATTTTTTTAATTAGGGAAGCATCTCCAAAACTCCTGGCCCATGACAGTCCCATGTCATGTAGAGTTTCTATTTACATGGGACTTTCAAATTTTTACTAAACTTTATTCTACATGTTAACATCAACCATCGCGTGTCATCTGAAACTTAGATGCACTGGCCATCCGGTCGTGATACTGTGCCTTCAGCGATGGTTCAAACATATTCTTCTTTTTCTTTGGCCTTCTCACGTCCCCACTGGGACTTTACGCCGGCTCTCTACTTAGTTGTCTTTGAGCACATCCACAGTTGTTAATTGAGAGCCTTTTGAGCCTGTGCCATGTACAAGTACAATCATACTCTTTGACCAGGGAGGTCGAGAAATTTTCCAACGCGAAAAACACTTAGACAAGACCGAGAATCGAACCCACCCACCTCCAACACGGTCTTGCTTTATAGCTGCGCCTTTACCGACTGAGCTAAGGGAGGCCCCGATATTATAATGAAAACAAATTCTCCCAAAGCCAAAAGCCAAATAACTAAACATTGCTTCTTTCGCTTTGTTTGCCAGGCTTTTCGGATTGATGGCTACGCGGATGCCCTTAATGGCTCTTCTGTCAGCGTGTTCACTACCCAATCGTCCATGCAGGCAGGCATTCCATAATCCTCACATGGAATGCCCTAGTGAAACCGACACCCCCCTCAGAAAGACCTAATCGAATTTATGACCGTAGCCCGCCCAAATGTGGCCGCACGAGGAACGGGAATCTAAGCCTCCACGTGAAACACATACTTCCTTTCACCCTGGACAGTCTCGAAGTTTGCTAATTCCATTATGTTATTGTTCTCTTTTTCTTTACAGGAAGAAACACACCTACATTCAAGGATGCCTTCTGCTGGCCTTATGCGCCATGTCCAGCGTGGCAGTGTACGCGACCTGGACGATGATCTACCGTCAGAATCTAATCATTCCACCGACACTAATCGGTAAGTTTACTTTGGGAGCCATCGTGGTGTAGAGGCCATAGGTATAGGACCCATTTCCACGCTCTATGCCAGTTGATAGCTTAATCAGGATTTATTGACCGCGGCTTTGCGGCCTTTCGCCTTTATTCGGGGATTATGTCGTTCTGGTTGATTGCAGCAGGAAAGTACTTTTTTCACCTTTCTCGCAATTCTACGAGCATCGAAAGGTAATATTATCGCTTGATAAATCACTTTTGCTATCTAAGGACTGTTCAGTTTTATAAGGTAGACGTCTTTATTTCAATATACGAAGCTCAATTGTTACCTAATTTTGTCTTATCTTCGATTAACGTGTAGTTTAGGAAACAAACCCTTGGATGTGACAATTGAATTGATTTTGCACAAATGGTGCACAAGGGCAGAAAAATAGCGAGTTATGCGAAATGTTCGAAATCAGCAGAGTCAAAAATCATCAAGCAGTTTGGAGAAGAGTACACTATTATCAACTTGTGGAAACTAAAGATTTTAAATTGGGTCACTACTTAACTAGCCTATTGGTCCCAAGCTTGGTCTAGTCGAAATTCTAGTACTACACTATGTTTGTTTTTAATTCGCTATGAAAGTTTGACAGATAAAATGAGGGGTTCGTGGATTTTCCTCTGTTTCGAGGGGTGCATCGATTAGCATGGGACCAAAGAGAGTACCAGAGCTGAGCCAATAAGTTGAGCACGTTTCTTCGGAACATTCTAGTTTTAGAGTTACCTCTATGCTATTATGGATATGCCAAAAACTAGACGCAGACAAGAACCATCGGATCCAGATTTGGAGAGAAGAGGTGTACGGCTTCTTACATCACAGCATTCCTACTTCGTGCAGGAAATTGCGCAAGAACTAGGGGTCAGCGTTGGAACGGTTCAAAATGTGAAGAAGAACAACAACCGGAAGCATAAAGCGCCGAAGAGAACAGAATATCAACAAATTCGTGCCAAGAAACGCTCCCGAAGGTTGCATAACCAGCTGCTCGAGAGAAAATTCGGTTGTGTGCTTATGGATTATGAAACCTATGTTAAATTGGACATAAGAGCGCTTCCAGGACCGCAGTTTTATAATGCTGTTATTGGTTAGAAGGTTCCTGATAACATCCGTACAGTTCAAATTGACGTAGAACTACGTAGTCTTATATAATAAAAGTTATTTGTTAACTGTAGCAGGAGCTTGTGTTTTGTGTAGGAATAGGAATTTGAGTGGGGTTCTCTCTGTTTATACTCTTTAGCATGACTATGATTGCCCTGAAAAGAACATTTTGATATGAAATTTAGTTGGGACATGTTCCGAAATTTTACTCTTTTGGAAAATCTTGGTGGCCCTAAAAAGGACCGATGGTAGTACAGGCTTAAAGCCTTTGGAAGATGATGATGACGTACTGCCGGATCAGCAAATCTGTCCGGTCCGATCCCATGATGTCCTCCGTAATTTGGTGTTTAGATTTTAGGCTGTTTACACCTATGCTAGTTAACTAGCTCAACCAAATAGCATAAATTTCAGTTGTTCCTGGAATTGCATGCTGACGCCCTGTTTACATTATGCTGGATACTTTTTAGTACATTTCCAGTATACTAGCGCTAGTGCACTATAATTGTACTAAAAAGAAGCCAGCATAATCTAAACAGGGCGTCACCAACTACCAGCATAAAATTTCAGGAACAACTGAAATTCGTGCTAGTTGGTTGAGCTGGCTGAGCTAGTGAACTAGCATAAGTGTTAACAGCCCATAAAGCTGGTAATATTAATTAAATAAACAATTCCATCTGAACAATGCATTAGGTCCTAAGTAACATTGGTCGATTCTCGTCATCGACTTTCATTTTCGTGTGGCGCATTAGAAGCTAGATAATAATTTCTCTCATCGATCTGTGGGCTGAATATGGCTGGGAATGTCTTAATATAGCCATGAGGATGCAAAGAGATAGTTCAGTTATCGCTCAGCTTCTGAGACGTGCAGACGTTTTTCTCGATTGCGCTTATCACTAGTGAAGCATTTACGTTTTGGATACCCTTCTATCCGCTGCGCCGCGTCGCGTGCAAATGGTTTCGCGATGAGGCGAGAAAACACTTTTAAGATTGACTATTCGCAGTTCTCCGTCAAGCCGTCGGTCGAAAAACTCTATGGTTTTTGTCGTTCGGTTCTCGGTCTAAATAGGGAAGACATTAAAAGACTTCAGTTACAAAGGACAGCTGCAATCCTGCCGCCACTGCAAAGAGCAAGCGCACACTGGCATATCATGTGTCCAGAACAAAAAGCTACGCGAATGTCACGAAGCAAACTGGACAGGCCAATAGGTCAACAACCGGTCAGCAACCCAAAAAAGCTGGTGCGAAACCACCAAACACGAAACTAGTCGGTCAAAAATCCACTACTCCGCAGCAGGTTCTGCGCAAATACAACGAGCGCACAATGCGTCAAGTTCGTTCCTAACAACACCACAAGCTGTCGTGGTTTTGGATGACGTGTTCAAAAAGCCAGAAAATGCGCTGCGATCGCAGAGCAGAAGCAGCAACGGGAACGAAACCGATGAATCCTCCGCTTCCACGAGCAGTAGACGAAGCCGAGGAAAACCAGCCGGTAAAAAACCTCGCCGGGATGACGACGACGACGAGAGGGACGAGGACAATCGCTTATAAATGGCTCTCACGCCGTACAACATCTCGTCCATCAACATCGGCACCATCACGAACCCCACGAAATTGAACGCGCTCCGAAGCTTCATAAACAGCCATAGCCTCGATATCGTGTGTCTACAAGAAGTAGAGAACGAGCAGCTCTCCTTGCCTGGCTACGTCGTTTTCTTCAATGTGGACCATACGAGAAGGAGAACAGCTATTGCCTTGAAGGAACACATCCAGGCCACTCACATCGAGAGAAGCTTGGACGGCCGACTGCTTGCGCTGAGAGTGCAAGACACAACGATCTGTATCGTTTACGCTCCCTCCGGCTCTTCGCTACGTGCAGCTCGGGAGAACTTTTTCAATGGGACGCTTGCCTACTATCTCCGCCATCGTACCACGCATGTCATTCTGGCCGGCGATTTCAATTGCGTGCTTCGAACAAGTGATTCTAGCAGCCCAAACACTAGTCCCACCCTCAAAACAGCCGTCCAGCAACTGCAGCTTCACGACGTATGGGAGAAACTGTGTCCGCGTGATCCAGGTTTCACGTACGTCTGCCGTAACGCACAGTCGCGACTTGATCGCATTTACGTCAGCAGTGATTTGCGCGATCACCTGCGAGCAGCACATGCACACGTCTGCTCATTAACCGACCACAAAGCGCTGGTACTCCGACTTTGTCTCCCCCATCTTGGTCAAGAGCATGGCCGTGGGTTTTGGTCCCTTCGGCCCTATCTTCTGAGTGACGATAACGTTGCCGAGTTCCAATACCAGTGGCAATATTGGACCCGGCAGCGCAGAAACTATGGCTCCTGGATCGAATGGTGGATTTTGTTCGCAAAGCCCAAGATCAAATGCTTTTTCAAGTAAAAATCTCGAGCCGTCTTCGATGAATTCCACAGTGAACATCAGTATCTCTACAGTGAGCTTCGGTTAGCCTACGACGGGTATTACCAGCACCCTGAAATGATAACCACCATAAACCGGTTGAAAGATGAAATGCTAGCGCTTCAACGGAGATTTTCCTACACGTTCATGCGAATGAATGAAACATATGTGGCGGGAGAACCCATGTCAATATTCCAATTGGGGGAGAGGCGAAGGAAGAGAACCGTCATCACGCAGCTGCAGACAGAGCAAGACGAAACGATAGCAGAGCTACGAGCGATCGAGACGCACATGATGGACTACTTCTCGATGCTGTACTCGGCGGAGGAAACAGAAGAGAATGAGAACAGTTTCGTCTGCGAGAGTGTTATCCCACCCAATGACCCATCGAATGAAGCCTGCACGGACGACATTACGACGGCAGAAATCTGGTCTGCAATAACAGCGAGCGCCCCACGAAAATCTTCCGGCTGCGATGGTATTCCGAGAGAGTTCTACCACTGCATGTTCGACGTCATCCACCGAGAGTTGAATCTGTTGCTGAATGAGGCACTCAGCGGAAATCTTCCTCCAGCGTTTGTCGATGGCATCATCGTGCTGGTTAAGAAGAGAGGCGGCGACGACGCAGCCCGTTCATATCGTCCGATCTCGCTGCTCAACAGCGACTACAAGCTCTTCTCCCGCATTCTCAAAACCAGACTCGATCAAGTGATGAGAGAGCACCACGTCTTGAGCGACGGGCAGAAATGCTCCAACTCAGAGCACAACATATTTCAAGCCACTCTTGCTCTCAAGGACCGGATAGCACATCTCCGCCACCACCGCCGTGCCGGGAAGTTAATCAGCTTTGATCTCGATCACGCTTTCGATCGGGTCCGGCACTCTTTTCTATTCGAAACCATGCGCTCGCTCGGCTTCAACCAGGATCTCATCGCTCTACTCTCGCGAATCGCCAGCCGGTCCACCTCTCGGCTGTTGATCAATGGGCACCTTTCTCGTCCGTTCGAAATTCAACGCTCTGTACGGCAAGGGGATCCGCTATCCATGCATCTCTTCGTTCTTTACCTGCATCCACTAGTGTGCAGACTCGAAAGAGTGTGCGGGAATGATCTGCTGGTGGCGTATGCGGACGACATCAGTGTGATCGTCACATCGACCAGGCAAATCGATGAGATAAATAGGCTGTTCACTCGTTTCGAGAGAGCTGCTGGCGCAAAATTAAATTTGCGGAAAACTGTTGCCGTCGATGTTGGCCTTTGCGAAGGCAACAGAATCAACACTCAGTGGCTACAAACAGTCAATGTAGTTAAAATTCTGGGTGTTGTTTTCGCAAATTCAATACGACTGATGACAACGATAAACTGGAATGCGCTTGTGGGGAAGTTCGCGCAACAAATGTGGCTGCATTCTCTGCGCACGCTGACGCTGCATCAAAGGGTCATCATGCTCAACACGTTCGGAACGTCCAGGATATGGTACCTCGCGTCCATACTACCGCCGTTGGAAGTGCATACGGCAAAAATAACATCAGCAATGGGTACGTTCCTCTTTAGAGGGACTGTCGCCCGTGTCTTAATGATGCAGCTGGCACGCAGCAGAGAGAATGGAGGCCTGAAGCTGCAATTACCAGCTCTGAAATGTAAGTCACTCGCAATCAACCGACACCTACAAGAGATCGAATCCCTTCCTTTTTTATAGATCCCTTCTTTTCCACGATAATCCCCGCCCAGCCATCTCAATAGATCTTCCCGACCTTAGACAAATCCTATCAAACTTATCCCAAATTTCCCACCAAATCCAATAGAACCCCTCCACCGATCAAATTCACCAGTACTTCGTCCAGCAAACTGAGCTACCAAGGGTGGAACGTAACAGTCCAGCAAGTGACTGGTCACGCACATGGCGAAACATTGCATCGAGGCAACTTAGTTCAGCGCAGAGGACGAAGCTTTACTTGTTGGTGAACGAGAAGATAGAGCACCGCAAACTGCTATTCGTGATGCGGCGAGTAGATGACGAAAACTGTACGCATTGTGGCAACCGTACAGCAGAAACTCTCTCCCACAAATTTTGCGCTTGTGCTCGCGTCGGCCCGGCTTGGACGGTTCTTCAGCAGAGAATAGCTGTCATCTTGGGTGGATGGAGCCGACTCGAATTCGAAGAATTGCTAAGACCTGCCCTATTAGGAATAAACGGCAGACATAGAGTGGCAATCCTGAATATGTTTATTACATATATTTGCTTCGTTAACGATTGTAACGGTAGAATTGATATAGCTGATTTGAACTTCCATCTTGATGTAGCAAATTGACGGTAAAACAAAAAAACTTTGTATGCTAAACTGACCAAATAAAACTTCAATTTTACATAATAAAAAAAAAAAAAGTTGGCAAGTCAATGTTACTTAAGACCTAATGCATTGTTCAGCTTGAATTCTTCTGGGGACAACATAATTTTACACTCAAAAAAATCCACACGTTTGATCGTAGTGTTTAAACACTTGATTTTTTTAAATGCACAATCACATTTACTTTAACTGTATTTCACCTTGGTTTAATGTGCTATACACGTTAATTTATAGTGTTTCAAATTTTGAAAATCATTCACTATCTATGCAAGTGTATTGCGCATTGAATCACGCTACTGTTCAAAACAGATGGATTTAAAGTGTTTTGCATTTCAATGCGATGTGAATTTGTGAAATGCTTGCTTAGAAAGGTAAACAAGAGTTGTGACTTTATCCCGCCTCATATATGAGAACAACCGTGGCACAGTGAGATCGATCGAAGACTCCTGCACAGCCCAACAATCCATGATCGAATCCCAAATCAGACCCAGATGTGTGAAAGCTCTGGCCTCTGGCAGTTTTGTTTATATATTTGTCGATTCATTTTTAGAGTCGGTAAAGTAGATTATTGAACTATGATGTGCAAAGCTATTGATATCGCCATATGAGGCACATAGAATCCAAGTGTTCCATAATGTTCAGGCATGGTTCATATCATAAGATTCACACATGAAATGGATGTTTCACAATAAACGCAAAATTAAGTGTGAGACACATGATGATGACAAGTTGAATTTTTGAGTGTATATTAACCTCAAACCTCAACGATTTTTAGGAGCAAAAAAAAAGTAGGTACTTATACTCTTAAAACAGTACGTGTGGTAACCCTAGGTGTTAGCAGCTGACTTCCTATAGAAAATGTCTCCCCTACAATGTCAGACAACCCATAATGTTCATACATGCTACTCAAGCAAACTAATATCCAAACTCACTTGATTGAACACGACTAGTCAAACAAATACGATTTCGTTTTCATCCAAATCAATCATTCCAAAACAAATGTCCCGTTCACAGACAAGCGCGAAGAACAAAGAACTTCGCAGTCCGGGTTCTTAATTACCCAGCCAGCAACCGCGCCTCACTCGCAAGAGCCACTTCAAAAAACCAGCCGTCCTTTGTTTTGCATACCTAATTCCATTTCGCGTGACTTCAAACGGAAAAACGAAACAACAACAAAACGCGGGCGTTATTCGCTAAATGCTTAATCACACACACCCACCCCTTTCTTTCTTTCTTTCATTCTTCCTTGCAGACATTCCACCCCTCTGGCGGGAACGGCTTCGCCAGTACGCGGAAGTCTACAGCACATTCCAGTCCCCACCGTCGGAGGCGTCGCCGACCGCCACCGAACTGCTCGTGTCGGAGGACACGATAGCGCAGATTCTGAACACGCAACCCAGCAGTGCCAGCCCGAATGACACCTTGGTGGGCACGGATGCAGACGAACAGGACGCGGAACAGCGCATCAAGGAGTTGGAAAACGAACGGATCCTGCCGTCCAAGTTTGGTAATTTCATCTACTCCAAGGAGGCGTCCAGGGGAGGCAAGGATTTACGGAAGATTGTGTGCTATTACACGACTCCGTCGATGAGTGGCCGGGAGGATCGGCGGAGTAGCAGATTTCGAAGGGACCTCTTTCCGGAGGATATTGATCCGCATCTGTGTACGCATGTGAATGTGGGGATCATAGCGATTGTCAACGGAACGTTGTTCATCGATGACGATCTGAAGACGGTGTTCAATCGGACGAAGCAACTCAAGAAGGCTAACAAGCAGCTGAAGGTGCTGCTTTGGGTTGGAGGAGGCGGTGTGGGGGGATTCTCGGAAATGGTTTTGAATCATGCCAGCAGGAAGCTGTTCATTCAGTCGTTGAAAGCCACGCTGGAGCAGTACCAGCTGGATGGGGTGGATCTGGATTGGGAATTTCCGGGAAGTTGCTGCAAAAATAGGATGCACTTTTCGCAGCTGCTGCACGAGATTCGAAGGGAGTACCAGAGGGAACATCGGACGTACATTCTGAGCGTGGCGGTGGCAGCTCCGGCCATCATCGCCTACATGTCGTACGATGTGAGGGAGATCAACAGCTACGCGGATTACGTTAACATTATGACGTATGATTACCATTTTTACTCGCCGGATACGCCACAGACGGGTAAGATTTAGCTTTATTCGTTAGTCGGTCTCGTTCAAAACGAATCTTTAAATTGCAGGTCTCAACGCGCCGCTTTTCCGGAGACAGAACGAGCAATCGCTCTTCGGTACCATGAACATCAACACTTCCGTCCACTACTGGATGTCGCAGGGACTGGAGAAGAGCAAAATCATCATAGGGCTGCCGACGTACGGGCACAGCTTCCAGCTGGTCAATTCGTTCAACAACAAAATAGGAGCCCCCGCTGCCAGCTTCGGCCGGACGGGTATGATTGGTTACGCGTCCTACTCGGAGATTTGCTGGTTCCGAAGGCATAATATCTACGTGCACCAGGTGTACGACGTGGAGAGTTGCTCGCCTTATCTGTACGCCGGTACGGAGTGGATTTCCTACGAGGATGAACGCAGCCTGGAGTGCAAGGCAAATTGGATCAAGGAGAATGGGTTCGGCGGGGCCATGATATTCTCGCTCAATACGGACGATTTCGGGCAGTATTGTGCCGACAATGCCCTGTTTAGCGACGAAGGGGAGGGCGGTTTTGCTGGGAAGGGCAACATTCCGAGGGAGTCTAGCAGTTTTCCACTGCTGAGGAAGATTCATTCCATACTGGTGGACAAGTCGCCGGGAAATTAGGACAAGATATTAAGCAATGAAGCGATCAGAGAAAGGGCACTAAGAAATGAAACAATAACGAAAAATACGACTTATAATGTGTAAGAGTAATATTATGTATTTCAATTACGGTAGGTTCGAGGATAGCGAGAGGCGCGTTAGGAGAAAAGTGATATACGACGACGGTTGGCTGGTGTGAGAGCGCAAGAGCATTTGTATATTTAGGTGAATCAATTGAAACCGTGCATATTTAGCTAGTTGTTAGGGAGATGAAAATCAAAGATCTAATCGATATTACCATTTTGTTAGCCACATATTTTATTTGGAGTTGCAGCAGTGAAAAACAAGCAAATGACACAGAAGTTCTCGAAATTACAGAAAATGGAAATTATCTAGTCATGTCGCTTCGATGTGGTGCGATTTCAGCTATTAGATTTTTGTTTATGAGGATGGGGGGGGATAGTCTATCGGACTCTAAGTTTTAAAAGTAAATCAAAGTATTCTAATTGACACGTTATCAACTGAAGCGAATAATAATGGAAAAAAAAGTCATATGTTTGAGGCCAATTGTCTTCCAAAACCGACAAGTAAAGGGTGTTTATTTTGAGTTTTGCTTTATTTTTTTGTTGAGAACCTCATTTTTTTGGTGAACAAGTGTCGCTCGGTCTGAAGAATAAAAGTGTGTTCCGAATTCGAAAAAACAAAAATAACAAAGCAGACCGTGGATGCAAGATCAAATCAAAACGTGTCATTTTTCGTCCACCACTTCCGGCAAGAAGTAGTCATCTCTGGCGGTGCTGTTTCTCAAATCTTTTCAAGTCACCAGCAAATTAAGTGATGGCCCCCAAAACGGCCTGTGTTTGTCCGGCACCAAGCAAAGCAAGGCAATCAAGTAGTGGAAGGTGCAACCCCGGTAGAGTGAGTCGAAACCCGTACGTCAACTTTTTGAGGAACTTTCGCCGGCAAAACTGTGGCTTATCATCGGTGGAGGTTATACGGCAAGGAGCTGCTGCCTGGCAGAAACTCAGCGACGAACAGCGGTTGCCGTACGTGAGGGAAGCCTTTTACCATCCGTTGAGGAGACGAGCGTGTTCACCTGGGGTCAGGTCGTCGTCCAGGATGGTGAGATCGGGCACTCGTAGACGGACAACGACTTCCAGAGCGGGAAGCAGGAGCCGGAGCCGATCTGCGAGAAGCGTAAGAAGGACGTGATCGGGATCTTGATCGTTTATTTTTAGTAAACTTTTAAATTTTATTTTTAATAAACTCGCAAATTTTCGGCTTCCATCTAACAACTTCTTGAAAACATCAAATTTGAAATAGGTGTTGTAATCAACGTCAAAGTCTAACGAAAAACCACAAATGAACAGCCCCCGACATGACTCTCAATGTGGAATTTTGTCACCTCACTCAATTCGACTCTCGGAGGGGCGGTGGGGTCCTTGTTGCTGAGAAAACTAGGCTGCACTGTACTGCGGTTTCTTTGGATGATTGTAGACAGCTTGAACAAATTGCTGTACTTCCTCACCATTCGCTGTTCATCATCATCTTCGCACGAATTCTGACGCATCATCAATTCTGGGCCCAGGATTAATCAGATCGTTCGTCAGACAATGACATTTTCTAGTTTTTGGTGATTACAATCTTCCTCATCTGCAATGATGTCTCGATGAGGACGTTAATGGATATATCTTGATAGAGCTGGAATTAGGGCGTAACAGCTTTTGTAAACAATGACTTCTATCGATGATTTCTAGGAATTCAAGGCACGCCCACGCAGACCAACATAACCAAAGTTTTTCCCTACCCGATGAGGATGTTGGTTTGCGTGGGCGAGCCTTGAATTTCAAGAAATCATCAAAAGAAGTCATTGTTTACAAAAGCTGTTAGCCCTAATTCCAGCTCTATCTAGATATACCATCGAATGCTTCCAGTGAACAAGAACTCAATCTCACCCAGTCCATCTTTCCGAGTTCAAGTGAACTCTTATGCAAACCCGAATGGTAGGCTACTCGATCTAGCATTCTCGGATTCTCCGGATTTCCTTGAAGAATTGCAGCCACCACTACCACTCCTACCTACCGATGCTCATCACCCACCGTTTGTTCTACAAGTGGATGTGCACAGCTCCATTATAAATCACCAAATTAACCCTGATTCGGATGCAATTGATCTGGATTTCAGCCACTGGAACTTTGATTCACCGCGTTTTCGTCGATCGGCTACCAGCATTTTCGCTATTTATGTATTTGCCAACATCAACAGACTCGATATGGTCCCAATGATGGTTTAACTTAAAATCAAAATTAAAGTAAGTCATAAGTTAAAAATACAAAACATTAAGAAGAATGAAGAGAAACGTCTCCGAAGTGTTTGTCGTAGCAGGTGAAAATCGAATACTGATGAAACTAGCTGCAGTCCGCCTATTGTACCGTTGATTCCATAGTTTGTCCGACGTAGTGGCATAGCACAACATTTTTACGAAGCATTCGGGGTTGTACATTAACATTGGCTCCAGGATTTCGATGCAATCAAATCTGCCATGTAACGTGTCCGCGACAAGCAGGTCTTTTGAACTTTCTCTTCTGGTGCGAAGAGGCTCCAAGTCAATCATCTGTCAGCGGCTTTCATAGCTGCGCAAATGAAACGGGTCTCTCCAAGGTATCATTCTTAAAGCGTATCGCAGAAAGCGGCGTTGAACGGACTCCAGACCACACAACAATATTCTAGAATGGAGCGTACCAGGGAGCAATACAGTGACTTGAGGCAACGGCTGTCGGAGAAATTCTTAGCTGTTCTGAAGATAAAGCCCAATGTGCTTGACGACTTGTCTACGACGTAGGAGATGTGTTGCTTGTATGTAAGTTGAGAGTCCTGGATGACACCTAGATCTTTTACATGGTTCACTAATGGTGTCTCGGAGAGCATAGTGGAACATAACTAATTCTTTATTTCGAGTAAAGGTGATGGTTGAACACTTCGCAGGCTTCACCGTCTTCTTCTTTCCTTTATTTAACGTCGGTATCTGTTCCGGATCTAGTGCCAACCACCGACTGACATCGATTGCCATCCATTGACGGCAATCGAATGTGCAGGAAGGCAGCTTCCGCACCTGCGTAGGATATCGCACCCATTCAACATACATGGGCCGCGGGACCAACGGCTTTACTTCCCTTCCGAAGGAAGACGGGACCAGAGATTTGTATGACCTCGGCTGGGATCTAACCCAGACCCATTGGGGTGCGAAAGCAGTCACGCTTACCACTACACCACCGGCGCCGGCAGAATTCACCGTCATTCGGTTCAAATGGCACCAGCTGTCAAATGCTTCAAACCTGACGTTGGAGGAATTGACAATCATCGATTGAGCGGATCCGTGAGTAGATTTTGAGATCGTCTGCATACGATAGTCGTGGACCTTCGATAACTAAATTCACGTCGTTGAAGTAAAGTAAGAAGATCAACGGTCCCAGATGACTTCCTGGCGTAGCTGCGAAAATGTCGGACTGGCAGTCACCATCGGCGAGGTATGAGCGAAACCATCTCAAGAGATTTCCGCTAACCCCCAGTCTATCCAATTTGGCGATCACGATGGAGTGATTGATCTTATCGAAGGCACCAGACAAGTCAGTGTAGATGACGTCAGTTTGTGACCTTTCAACCATACTTTGCGTGACGTACGATGTCAGACACAGTAGATTCGTGGTAGTAGATCGACCGGAGGTGAAGCCATATTGATCTTCGCTTAGATACTGCTTGCAATGGGAGAACAGAGGCTCTATGATGACTAACTCGAATAGCTTCGAAATTGCACACAACGATGTAATTCCACGATAATTATGCACGTCCCGTTTGATGCAAAAATGCCACACGAAATGGACAATCGGAACGGATGTTGTAGCGGTGACAGTAAGTTAGCGATATGCTTCATCAGAAAGACTGAAGGAACATCATCCGGCCCAGGGATGAAGGGCGGCTTTAGTTTTAGTGCGGCAGTCGTTATCGGCGTTGATAACATTCCCACCCAGAGCTTGACCGGAAAGTGGGACGTTGCTCGCTGCTAGGGTCACGTATTCGTTGGTTAAGCTTTCGCCAAAGAAGGCACTTGCAAACATGTTGGTTGGAGAACAAGCGGTAGACCTCCTGTGGAGTGGAAGCGACTTCGCCATTCAATATCAAATATGATGTTAGACCGAACTCTCTGCGCTGCTACTGCACGTACATCCAGAAAAACTTCGGGTGCTACTTGAACTTCCTTTGAATCCCTTGCCGATAATGCAAGTAGCATCGACGGCTGACTCGCTTGAACTGGTAATTGAGCTTAAAGTAGTGACGTTTCAGCGACATGGTGCTATATTTAGTGAATTTCCTCAACGCGGCTCTCTTGATCGATTTCAGTTTTTTTCAATTCGTTCGTCTGCCAACGGAGGTGCGATACAATCTGGTGAACGCTCTCAGGGACGTGACTGTCAATGACATAAGCCAAGACATGTGGAAAAGTTTGAGCAGCGTTTTCGACGTTATCGGAATCAAGTATGTTTTACCAATCAATGCTTGACAGCACATCGACGATGCTGCGATGATCGGCTTTCCGGAAATTGTAAAAACCGTCGAAATCCTAGAATTTATTGTCTTCAACAGAAATAACCAAAGGAGGATGATGCGGAACTTCCTTTACGAATGGAGAAGGAGCCGACTAGATGGATGGAGCCGTATCTTGAGCGGCTAACTGATCCAGAATGAAAAGCAGAACCTGTGGGGTCCGGAATGAGAAAGCCAATCATGACTGGACCGAGGTTTCCAGCCTCGGTCACGGTTCCACGAATCTACCGCTCAGCTGGTGGTCCGATGTAGTAACCGGACCGAGGTTTCCAGCCTCAGTCACGGTTCCACGAATCTGCTGCTACCTCTGTTGGTCCGCTAGTGCCGCTATCCCTTCTGCTGATGGCCCTTTGCTGGTCGTCCGCTCTCTCCACAGTCACAGTCCGTCATAAGAATGCCGTCAACGAGATAAGATACCTCATATTTGTACCTCTAGCTGTATCAAAATTCTCGAACCAATCAGATTCCGTTTACATACGGTCTATCACGCTTCACGCTCACTCGATTCTACTCATTTCAATGTCCACACTAACTCTATCTACTACAGGAAGGTTTCCACGAAACACCAGCAAGAATAAATAAAGTTGCCCAGAACAATAATCAAGTTCAATGTCGCGAACTCGGTCGGGTGCGATGTATATCACACATAAGTACAGTCTGCGATCGCTCAACTTGACAGCTACCCATGCCTGTTCAACGCAGTTCCACATGTCGTACTCTATGGCTCTAGCGTTCAACACGAACCGAACAGCAATCAGAACACCACCACCAGGGGACTTTTGACTATTGTTCGGGTTTCGATCGCAGCGAAATACCTCGTACTCGCATCCGAACGCCTGGCTGGAAAGCGTTCAAGAGTCTAGTCAGGTCTCGGTTAATACTGTTACATCATAACAACGGTCCGATACAGCTAACAGGTACTCGTGAACATTAGAATTCATTCCGCCGATGTTTCGGTAGTACATGATGATATCCTCTTTTCGGCGTTTGTCCGTGTCAG